AGAGAGAGAGAGAGAGAGAGAGAGAGAGAGAGAGAGAGAGAGAGAGAGAGAGAAGTGGAAATGAAGGTGGTGGTGATGGTGGAGGAAGACGACTGGGAAGCGGTGGTGACGATCGGAAAAGACAAGAGGAGTGCTGGAGACATTCGGAGATCGGGACAAATCGACGGTGCATGAAATTCTTTCAAACTTTTTTCCCTGCATTTCCTTCCCCTCTCTTCCCTCCCGAATGGCTGCAATGCACTCTCCAAACATCTTCTCGGTTGCCTATTCTCTTGCTCTCCGGCCCCTCCTCTGCGCCACAGCTTCGCTGCGGCGGGTTCACTTGTTTTTACTAATGAGACTGGAAATCGGGTCCAGCGTCCCTTACACCAGGTACCCAGTCAGCGCTTCCCCCCTTGGGCCCCGTCATTGTGGCCAAGGAACCATGACACAGGCTCACACAGCAGCATTGCTTACTCCCTTTTGAAAGAAAAAGGATGTACCACTTCTCTATCCCTTCTTGTTTCAACTTTTCCTTGCCCATAACCTTTGTGACCAAGCTCTTCCCCCTTTCAACAATACTTTGATTTCCTCCGTAATAAAGTAATATCAGTCCGACAACTCCATTCGAGTCCACTGCTTTGAACTGCTAGAAAACCAGTAGGGTTGAATATGCCTCCAACTGTAGTTCTAAGATGACCATCTTTCCTGTCGCGAGCTGAATTCATGCCGCATGGAAATTCTTTGAGGTCTTGATCTGGTGTCCCACCCTTAACCACCAGTTTGTCAGTCCCAGAGGTCTATCTTAGGCTGATTTTGAGCTCTCCCTTCAAGTTCAATCGAGCGAGTCCACACGGTCATCTTTTTTTTTCTGTGGGCTCCTTAATTGGCAATTTCCTCCTTATTGCTCTGCATTCAGGTTCTCCTCTTCATCCTGTTCTGCTCTGTCTCCCTCTCGCAGTGCTTGGAACCAAATTTTAGACCGTAAAAATCTCCCCTTGATCTCAGCTATACTTCCCTGCCTCATCCAGGTCTCCTCAATAACTTTTCCATGAATGAATATCCCCTTTTTCGGCGACCTGCTGTCTTTCTCTTTGATTGCTCTCTTAGTGTTGACTTCATGACTGCTTGTGCCTCACTCCGTGATTCTTCTGCTGCCGCTTTCTCTTTAGCAGTTTTTCACTTTTTAGGACTTATTTTACTTGTTGTCTCCTAAGGCTTGCGTCCTGCTCTCCACATCACCCATAGAACTGGCAGTGCTCTCTTCATTAGGTCCATCAAGACCCCAATCCTTGTTTCCATTTCCCCTCCTCTGCCACTTGCCTTTTTTAAGAAGAATAAATCTGTAATGTTCTGTATGGAAGGGTGAATCCTGCAATTCGGACCCAAGCCTGGGCTATCTTTCCCCCATAGTTTCTTCACATGAGGGCCTTCAACCACTTGAAGGCAAGTGTGACAGGGTTTCCTGTGCTCTTTGTGTGCAAATTTTGCATTGTGGGGTCTCCTCTGTTCTCTCCTCTTCCTTTCTCCTCTGGTCTAACCATGCATGTACTGGTCCTGTGTAGTCCATGATGACATTGATGAGCCATTGTAAGCTTCTGATTTCGTCCGGTTTGATTCTGCTGTGATACTCCCATGAAATTGTACTTGACCACTCTGGGTCTACCCCAAAGTGCTTGTTCCATCTAGTATCAATTTCATTGGTATAGAATCTATAGATAATTTTGAAAGTTACTTTCTGTTTGCAGCCTATCTTAAGCTGGTCTTCTTCGAAACTAATCAGTTCCCTTGCCATACCATTTCCCGGGCGCGAGGGGGGCGGGGGTGGGGTTAGTTCGATGGAGGGATGAAAGGATATGCAGAGAAAGATGGGTCGGATGGAAGGAAGAATGTGTGGACGGGAGGACGGATGAGTAGATCAAGGGTAGATGGCTAGATGCAATGCGTAATGCCGAATGACTAGACATATTAAGTGCAAATATGTGGATGGAGGAGTGGGCTAGTGACGGAAGGATGGCGGGTAGATAGAAGGATGACTGGGTGGATGGATGGAGAGATAAATGGGTGCATGCAAGGACGGATAGAATGGCTTAGGAATCTATGGATGGAACAGTGAGCGAATGGGTAGATGAATGAACCGATTGGGGGATGGACCAGTGTATCAACGGAGGAGGAGGTCGAGGGAGGGATTTGTGAGTGGAATTAAGGGTTTGTTCGAATACTAGAAAAACTAGTCCAAATGATTTCCATAGTGGTTCCATGAACAATTATCTCTGGAATTGGGTTTTTCTTACTAGTGAAAATGCCATAAAAGTTGATAAAACAGGAACCAACATCCATAATACGAAGATCAGAATCATCATCAAGAAAAAAAAGATATCATGATGTAGGATAGGGGTCAGTGCAGAACGCCTGCCGATGGGTGGAACACGTGCAATTTGGTGGATGGAAGAATGAGTGACTGGAGAGACAGAACAGTGGATAGAGAGACGGATAGGTAGAGTGGATTGAGAGACGGATAGAACGGGCTGGGTGGATGTAAGGGCCGACAGCTGGATGCCTGGGTTGGAGGGTGCTCGTACAGTCATGATTGCTCATGTGTTCTCGCCGTGTGCGCAACGCGCAATGCAAGACAGTACTTCATGGCTTGGAAAAGGGTGGCCGATTGGATGGAATGATGAAGCGGATAGAAGGATGGACGGTTGGTAGGAAGCATGGATGCAGGCGTGGACGGCATGATGGATAGCTGGGCGATGTATAGGGAGGACAGAATGACCGACGGCTGGCCATGGGATGGACGTATGGAACGGCAAATGGCTGGGTTGGTTGGGACTGGCCATGGGAAGGACATATGGAATGGTAAGCAGATGGGTCAGCTGGGAGTCTTGGGACTGGCCATGGGATGGAAAGATGGAGCGGTGAACAGATTGGGCGAGTTGGGATGAGGGCTAAGCAAATAAAGGGCCTTTGGGGTAGGAACTGGAGGCCTGCACCCACATAAGTCACCACAGTCACCAAGGGGGCCACAAAACTGCAGTCATTCGCATATTATACAACCCTCATGAAATTTTAAACAGATGCACGTGCACACCGTCCAAAGCTGGATTGATGTTTCAGCACCCATTCATCAGCCAATCACACTGTCATGTACCGATTTCAAGTGAACCAGAACAAATACAGACTACCGTGAGGCATCAAACCTTATAGATGAGGGGGCTCGCAGGACAGGGGCTCACCAAGGTAAAGCTGTTTCCTCTTCACCCATACGGATGCCTCCCAGCGCTTTGTCGACCTGAACCAAGAAACATTTAGGCGTCTTAGCAACATTGCCAAGTGTTAAGTAGAAACACAAGGCCTTTTAGAAACAGACATCGCATGTAACCGGATTTCAAAGTTACGGTGATTGCATAGAGGCTGAATGACGGAGTGACTGCAAAATTTACCACTGGGAGTAAACCAGTTGGGTTGGCAATGTGCCAATGTTACTCCCATCCGAGCAGCAATGATGAAAGAAAGGTGAAAGAAAGGAGACCTGGAGGATCATCAAGCATGGTGAGGACGAGCCTCGATGTATTGGTCATCCATTTGTCAGTTTGATTCTACCATGTTACATACAATCTTGCCAAGTATGCCCCTGCCAATTGAAAAGTCATTTCTCTGCTTTCAAGCTTCAAAACACTACTGTAACAGTATTAACTGTTGTTGAGTCATTGCTGAATTTGCTGGCAGACAAATGTCAGTATGTCTCTCCAGTTGGTATTTGATGATCACATTCCACATTGATTATATATTTTCACAGTAGGCTTTGACAAGCACTGCAACATTGGAAAACCCGAGACGACCCTCTCAAGGACCCGCAAGATTCCGATTCATTGCACTTAATACTATGCCTAAAAATGATAGCAAGAAAGAAAAAGAATACAAGCGGAGCAGGTTTCTGCAGGGTTAATCAGCACCGTTTCGTCTCAAGATGATTGTAATGATATCGAATCATTATCGATTCACCATTGCATTAAACATAGCACCTTCAAGTTGCTGACGGGTAAGCAAGAACCCATGCACCCAACTGCAAATTGGCAAGTTTCCAACCTTGGGTCTTGATGTTTACCCCTATATAACCCCAGCGTAATGATGCCACTGATGGGTTAAGTAGCGCCAGTTGCTGGCAGGTAAACTGACGCCCATTCATTCGACTGCAAGTCGCACAATTCATGTTTGCCCTTCACCGGTTCTCCCTACATCACCCAGGGCAAGTGACATATAATACTTGTTAATCTTTGCAGGGAAACCACAACAGCAACTTTGTGGAGGGAGTATTCGGTGTGAGAAGGTGAAGAAAACAACTTCAAGCGATGGAGGAGAAAAAGCAGAGGGATGTCAACCAAGGGTGGTGGTCGAAACAGAGTGGAAGAGCAGAAGGACAGAGCAGGCTGGGAGGCGGTGGAAACAGGTTGGGAGGAGGTGGAAACGGAAGGGAAGGGAAGGGAAGGGAAGTGAGGGAAGGGAAGGGAAACTCCTACCTGGTTGTTCAGGCCAAATAAAGACATTTCAGAGCTAGAAATTGACCCCAACAAGTGGGGCTGGTACTAGAACAGAGGGAGGGGTTGAGCTAAGAAGTGGATTGCACTGCATGAATACACAGTGACAAATGGGTATAATGTAAGACGCAAGCTAGAAAACCCGCAGCCAGTCATACCGGCAAGGTGGTAAAAAACCTTACAAATAGACCCCAACTCCTTGAGTACATTCCCATGGGCTTACTATGCGTCGATCAGACCCCAGAAGGTAAGAAGTCTACAATGGCTGATAATTTACAGTGCGGTCCCTGTCAACACCTGGTTAGAGGCAAGGCGAAGAAAAAAGGATAGAACGGAATCCTCGGTACATTGCCAAATGTGTCAGGAACGGGAAACAGAAACACTAACCCACTGCCTACTGGACTGCCAACACGCCAAAGCTCTGTGGACCAAATGTAAAACAGCCTGGTCAAGCTTTTCTCCCAACGAATTCCCGACAAACCAATTCTATCTGTTGACAACAATAAACAGGGAAAACTTTGTCACCGAAGAAGACACAGAGATCACAGGGCTTCTGCGAAGAACGACCCTGTGGGTAATCTGGAGAGCACGATGTGGGGGCACAATAGGTAAAAAGAAGATAACAACAAACGAATCGTGGGGAGACGCACGGGGAATTGTGGAAACAGGAATCACAGTGGAATGGAAACGAGCCCTAAAGAAGATAGACAGGGAAGTGGAGGAACAAAGAAAGACTAAAATACGGAAGGAATTTGAAGAAAAGTGGCTGAAGGGGGGGCTATTGGCAAAAATAACCTGAAAAGCCCTTCACTTTACGGACTGGTGGGATCCAGACCGCCCAGGGATAGGACAGAATTGAGGTAACACAAAGGACCCAGCCTGATAAAGGAAGAGCCTAGAATAAACGAACATGGCATTAGAACAGGAAAAGGGATAGGACACAACGCCGGGCGCCTACCAAAAACAACCCCCCCCTTAATGGTCCGGCCTCAAGAATGGAGGCACAAGACAAGAAAGAAAACGCAAGTGGGACAGCATAACAGGGTAGTCCAGAGGAAACAGCAGTCAAAACAGCCTTCGGGGAGAAAGGAAGAGTATACAGCCCAACAGAGAAGATGGATACGTTCAAAGGCCATAGCCGGGTATTCACATTATGGGAAGGAACCTTAAAATGCACCTCAAGCAGACCTACAGTCACTCATTAGCACCCCCGAATCCTCACACACCCATATGGATTCCCCATAGATAAGGGCAAAAGTCGGGCCAAACACATCACAGGGAGACAGGCTAGAATACTAATCAAGACACAGCACTATAAGTAGGCAGGGCCAAGGACCACAGACAAGTAGCGCAAATGATCAAGACAGGGTAAAGGGTTCTCGTAAAGCCACCAGAAACAGGCTGTCTAGCCCAGTTCAAGCATCGTAGACCACCCAATAGAGATACGGCCAAAGAAAAGGATCAGTTGGGTTTAGGGTTTTAGCCCATATTTAGAGCCCAGGTCGATAGAGTTCAAACAACAAAGTTTTAGCGGGAGTCCAAAAAAGTGAAAAGGAAACTCAGCTAGGGGTTAGGGATCCAACAGAGTGGCTAGCAATGAAGTCGGACATTTAGCAGGACCATGGAGAGATGCCTAACCGGCAGCTCAAACAACTTAAGTAAATCTGAAAGTCAAGGATCTGAGGGAGAGAAAAAAAAAAAAAAAAAAAAAAAAACCAANCCACTTCCCTTCTACCTGCGAGTAGCATCCACGAAGATTCCCTACCTCTTCTATCAAACAGACATAAGAAACTCCCATGTTCATAGGCGACTTCATCGGACACGTACGAATGCAACCTAACCGTAAAGCCTGTCTCTTATACACATCTAGATGTGTATAAGAGACAGAGTCAAGGATCTGAGGGAGGAGAAAAAAAAAAAAAAAAAAAAAAAAAAACCAATAACCGATCTGTACCTGTGTCTGCTGACTCCTCTGTAGCCTGATGTTGCCAATGATCCCTTTCTGTCGTGTCCAGCATTTTTGACCATAGTCTCACTTTCCTCAGATCTCGCTTGAGGACCACTGCAGCCTGCCGTGTGGGCTTTCTCTGCTTTTCCATCAGACTTGTTGTGGAGTGGGGAGCCGGTATGCTTCCTATCACTTCCCCTGGACGTCAAAGTGGACATTTCACCCAGTAGACTTTCACGCTGAAGTACAACATCCTCTTCGCGACCCAGCAGTCGTGTTGAATAACCCGTACCTTCGCGACCATGGTGGCTTAAAGGCTGGTTGAGAGCAGAACCCGCTGCACCGGCTGCGCATGACGACGATATCAGAACCTTAGTTGGTCTGCATCCAATGAATGAGCGGGATGGAGGGGCCTCAGCTCCTTGAAAGGAGGGACAGTCACGGCCTGGTGAGAACCTGGACTTTTTTTGCGAGTCCGGCTGCTGTTGACTTTCACGAGCCTGACTCCGAGTCAACGGACGTTGTTTCGTGGCAATGTCCGATCTCCGAGTCGCTGAACCATCACCTGGCTTTGTCTGACTACTTGAGTCACGCGAAGCACACATTCTGGCACTGTCGTTAAGAGATGCTCTCTGTTGTTGAATGTATAGATCATTATTACCTGGGCCAAGTCTCTGCACGGAGATGGAGGGCCCGCATGCTGCCTCATTGGCAAGCCTGCCATTATTTGACAGGAGACAAAAAGTGCGAAGAACAGTTGATACTTTAGCTTCTGAATCAGAAGAAGCTGCATTAACAAATGTACCCAGCATTCCTGATTTGGCCTGAATCACTACCTTTGGGGGATACATTTGAGCGGAACTTAATCCTGGGCCTGACACACGGCCCGATACACTTCTGCTCCCTTCCTTAGTCTCTGAGAGAACTGATAGAGGTGGAGATGGTTTCCGATTCAAACCAGACGTTGGCACGGATGTGTTGGCGATCACGCTCCCCTGTGAACTGACCCTGGCTACAGTACAACTTCTTGCGCGGATCAGCGATGGACGAGATGAGAGTTGTTGTCGATGAATAACAACGGTCTGATTTCCACCTGACTCATTGCCCACTTGAGACACCCAGTGCCCTGCTGGCTGAGACGACTTAACCTGCATACTGCCTGCTGATGCCTCTGGATCCGCAACTGGTAGAGCTCTGGATGGCCCATTCGCACTACATGGAATAGCCTGTGGAGGGTTAAATTTCCTCGTTTTACGGAGCCTTGTAGTAACCACATCAGCAGTTGAGGAACAGGGTGGCGGTCTGGTTGATTCCATCACTTGCGCCGACTCAGGAGACCGGGCACCCCTCTTCAGAATCTGCGCATTCAATGCCTGCTTAGCACCTTTCCCTGTGTACATCCTCTCTCCCCCCCAATCGCCACCATTAATGCTTTCTTTGAGTTGCTTGGAGGCTGCTGCTTCCGACCCACAAACACGTTCAACTGGTCCTTGTGCAGAGTTGTTTCCTCCGCTGGCCAATGTTGCACTCTTGGGAGGGAGAGGAGGTAGACCAGAACGAGAGCATCCGGCAGCTGTTGCTGCTGACCGTTTTACCATCTTTGTCCGCCACCTCTTGGCTGAAGAGATGACTAAGGGACCCTTACCCCCTGCAACAGATGAGCCATGATCTTGATTGGATGGGGGTACAGTTTGCGGCGTCCCAAGGGGCTCAGAGGCGTCTACCTGTTCTCCATTTTCTATCTGACATGTGGCATCAAAGCCTAGTGGGGAGGCACCAGGCATACCTTGACCAGTTGCAAGCGAGGTTCTTGCTCCCACTTTGGTACGCTGTGGAGCATCTGGAACTTCACCCTTTTCAGGGCCCGTGGTGACCGCCTTAACAGTGTTAACACGTACACTCAATGTGGCTGATTCGGACCTCACAAACTCAGATGGCTTCTGCTTGATCTGCACATTGTCCGTTTTTCCCTGGACGTCGAGTGCCCTCCCACCTGATGCATGATCCGCAGAAGGGAGAGGTACTCCACCCGTCTTGCTCTGTTTGTCACGGAGACCTCTGGCTCGTTTTGGCTTTAGTAATACATCTGATTCAGCACTCAATCTAGCAATTGCGGCATGACTCTTCTCTGCAGCCTTGGTGAAAGGGCCTGCCAATGGTGTCTCAGAACAACCAGAAGCATTCACGTGCCTTCTTCCTCTGTCATCAACAGGGCCGCGGGCCCTGCCATTGCATACATTCGAGTTTTCCTTGCAAGCTGTTTGCCCTGACCTTGATTTTCTGTTGTTATCAACTTTCTCAGCCTTGCTCTGATCTGCTCCTGACCAAGCTGACTTGCAGGTACTACTTTTATTCAGCAAGACTGGACAAAAGGAGTCAATGGAGCCTTCGGCCTGGCTGCAGTCATCTGGGGACCGGTCAGCAGCGGCAGCTGCAGTAGACGCTGACATCTCATGAGCGGATCTTGAACAAAATAGAGATCGGTCAGCCTTTCCCGGCATAGCCCGTTTCTGCCCTGATTGCAGCGACTGCAAGCCACAGGTTGCAGCAGGACCAGGTGAGAACGGGCTCCAGTGAATATCTCCTACGTCGACTGCACTCAACCAGCGCAGCCCCTCTTCAAAATCATCATGATCAAGCACAGAGGACATGCACTCCTGTGGGCACACATTCATTGCAGCAGCCACAGCCGCAGCGGAATCATTGTGCTGCACAGGTTTCTTCGTTGCTTCCTCGTCTACGTTAATCATGATAAGCGGAATGTCTATGTGCTTTTTAAGCTTATAAAAATCGCCCTTCGCAGGAGATGACTGATGCTCCTTGAGAGGGCATGACAGAGCGTCACTTCTGTTTGCCGATCGCTCATTGTGGCATGATAAGCCGGCCGATCGACGATCGGTGCCAAACCGATCTAACAGCTCATGGTCCTTCAACTGCTTCGGCGAAGGCAGCAGGCTGGACACTTCTCCAGCAGATGGAGCAGAACCGGCCGCAAACAAAGCGAGATTTCTCTCCCTTTGGCCGTCGCTTGTGTGCTGACATGCATGAACTGACCAATTAGGCAAAACAACGCTTCCATGGCTGATGCTCTTCAGACGACACTCGCGATGTGATGATGGTGGTGCCACCAACGAGCAGCCCGGTGCGTGGACCCTATTTGTCAGATCATCTGTGTAGCTCATGTTCCCATTTTTGTCAGTGTTGTGGCGTTGCCGATCCAAGGGTGCCGAAATCATCTGACTTTGACCCCCTAAACTTGTAGAAAGCATCTCACTCTTCGTCTCTGAAGGTGTCCAAACCATGTGACACCGCATCCTCGAAGGCGGCCCTGAAAATTCCTGGTTTTTTATCCCTGCAGGTCCAAAGCCCATAGCCGAAGCTGTCTCATCCCGAGCATGCTGACAACAGGGTTTGGTCATGGCAGATAGGGTCACTCCGTCTGGAAACTGCAAAGAGGTGGCTGCCCCAGCTCCTTCTACATGACACAAACAAGGTACCTGCACATCCTTGCGAGCCAGATTTCTTTGGAGACAGCTCCTCATACTCCACGTGGAGTCTGAGCCCTGTGAGACGTCCAGAAATTCTTCTGCAGCCGATGCTCTTGAGAATCCTGATAGTGGAGCTGTTACAGCTGTATCATCATTACCACCAATATTATGGTTGCCACTGGTCCCAGAGAATGTATTGATTAACTGCCTGGGAGATGGACCTGGTCCCCCACGGCACCCACAGAAAAACGGTGGATTCTTCACAACCAGATTACGAGCTTGAAGGACTGGCAAATTGGGCACTTCATCAAGACGGTGTCTCTGGTCTTCAATGCAAGATGCAGTCGACTTTACTGCAGCCCCATGCCTAGCCAACAACGAGCATCCTGCTCCCTCGCTCTTATCAGCTTGCAGCCTACCCTCAGTTTTCTCACTACATGTGATCAGTTTTACAGCAACCTTCTTTGCATTTGGAATCACGTACGACGCTGTCGTAGGCTCCTTTTCACGCTCAGCATCCTGATGTTCTTTGAGTCCAAATCCTTTCCTTGGCAATGTCTTCACTGGTCCAGGACCAGCCAGACCACATCTGGCTAGGTCCATGTCTTCTTTCCCTAGTTCTGCGGCTGTCTCAACCCCATCCGCACAAGTTGACTCAAGCCCGTTGATGCGCCCGCCAAATGCCAAGTGGTTGCAATCCTCCGCCAGCAGCCTCTGGTTTGAAAGCCCGACCTGACCTTGTATTCGATCTTCCTTTCCCCACTCCCCGCTTGATATATGTACCAGAAGGTTGCAGTTTGTTCCCTCATCTGGAACAAGAGGTAATGCACTAACCTGATCATTACAGTCTGCAGTTGGGACACAATCACAAAAGGTCTTACAGTAATCTGCACACTCAGGAGGACACCAATTGCCAGAGTGGTCTTGCTTTTTCTGATCCTGATGCCCGCATTCTGTGACTGCAGATGCTGAGGACGACACCCCTCCACTGTTTATAGCAGCAGAAACCAGCACCCCGGAATGTGAAGAGTCCACTTTTATACCAGTTCGGAGAACAGCCTGTGATGACCGGGTGCTTGGCTTGATGCAGGCAGGCTGAGAATTTGACGAAACTGGAGCGGTTTTGAGCAGTGTCGTCTCATCCGTAAGATCCCCATCGACAGAAGCCGACTCTACCTTGCCCATAGTTGAAGGCTGCAATTCTCTTATTGTCACAAAGGGGTCTTTTGGGGGATGCCGTTTCCCAGTCTTGTCCACTAGAGCACCTCGCATGAGAGTATTATCCCTATAGAAGCAAGACTTCCCAATCTCAGCCACAGTGCTCTCACCTGTTGCCGCCTCCTTTTGGTTGGTGGAGGACGCAACCTGTGCACTGATCGAGCAAATTGCCCTGTCATTATGACCATCGATGATGCGAGTTCCTGCATCCGATTCATTCATTGTGGTGTCACATCCGCTAGCCAACAATCCTCCTCTCCTGCCTGCCAATCCACACAACCGGGCCGGGGGAAAGAACCAACACGATAATAAGATGATCCAGCACCCTTTCCTTTTCACTTCTTCAAGTTGAATTCCAGGCTTCCAGCCAGTTTCTAGGATGCAAGTACTAGGAAGTGCGACGAGTTTATTAACTGCAGAAAATGCAGTCGGAGAATGAAAGCCATGGCTCTAAGGCTACATAGCGCATTCAGAAATGGAGAAATTGAGAAAAAGAGGGTTGCAGTTGACTGATACTTCCTAGAAGCATCAAAGAACATCAGAACTGCTAGTAAACATTTGGAATGAAAAGAAGAGAAATTGAGGCAAGAAAACGAACTGCAGAGGACGCTCAAGGTAAGCCTGAACATGGACTCCGAGGTAAACATGGGCTCAGAAATCTAGAAAAAGAGGAGAAATTTGGAAGCATCAAGGAACATCAGAACTGATACTTCCTAGACTGGAAGCATCAAGGAACATCAGAACTGCTAGTAGACATTTGGAATGAAAAGAAGAGAAATTGGGGCAGGAGAAAGAACTGTGGAGGACCCTCAAGGTAAGCCTGAACATGGAGGCAAACCTAACATCAGAACTGCTAGACATTTGAAATAGAAAGAGGAGAAATTGAGGCAGGAGAAAGAATTGCAGAGGACCCTCAAGGTATGCCTGAACATGGAGGCAAACCTAAGCCAAGTCATGAAAAGCATGCCTGAGAGATGAGTAAGAGGCTCTAAGAGATTGCAGGGGCTGGGCAACATCTTCCCTTTAGAAGAACCAAGCAACCCAACAAGCTTCCTGAGCAACCAAAGTAGAGCAGTAGGATCTTTCAGAGTACTAAGCAACCTGATAAGAATTAGGGTAAAAAAGGGTGACCGAAACAGAGTATTTGGGCCCGACTTAAGCATCCAGCAGCTAGAAGTTGATCCCACCGAATGGTCATGGGGCACGCCAGGCGACGATTCCACAATTGTATCCAAACACAAACTGACTGACTACACCTCAAAACTAGGCTGCAAATTGTTCTCCTCACCTATTCCTACTTTGGCCACCATACTTTTTTTTTTTTTTTTTTTGTATGTTACGTCGACCTTGCCAATATATGATATGATATGATATGATATGATATGAAACAGACTGCACGGCAGACAGCCTATGCATGAGGATAGCATTCAGAAGATACACCCAATATATGTCAATGCTGATCACGCACGCAAAATAGAGCAAGAAATACCATAACGAAAAGTCGAATTACAAAATGCTCAGAACTTACAATAATCGAAAGATACGTTCACGAGCACCTTGCATAATCCCAAAACCTTCCACATCACATTGCGGCCATTCCCCGAATTACAAAAATGCTTAGAACTCAGAACCAGTCGTTCTCAAATACACAAAAAGGCCAGGATGCGGCCACAGAGTAACACCCTATGAGAACCGATCCGAAACCTAAAACGAAAGACGACAGGTACGTTCACGAGCACCTTGCATAATCCCAAACCCTTCCACATTACCTTGCGGCCATTCCCCGACCGGTTTCGACTACCCCGTGAGTAGTCTCTTCAGGAGGATTACTGAATATCAAGCATCTGCAATCCGCTCAGAGTAAGAGGCCAATCTACGTGCCTTGCCTCTCCTTATATACTAACCGACATCCAGATTCCACCGCCACTTCCCTTCTACCTGCGAGTAGCATCCACGAAGATTCCCTACCTCTTCTATCAAACAGACATAAGAAACTCCCATGTTCATAGGCGACTTCATCGGACACGTACGAATGCAACCTAACCGTAAAGCAATCCCGTGAAAGTACTCGGAAAGTTCCATCGGGAGGGCGCAAGAAACAATCATGCACATGGATCGGATCCTCGAACAGGTAAACAAGGTAGATCCCAGTCGTAAGCCAATCACGTGAAAACACTCCGAAAGTTCGAAGAAGAGGGTGAAAGAATCGTGCGTGCACTTGGATCGATCCGCCGGAAAAGTAAGCATGCTAGTTTCTCATACATAGGACCTGCAAAAGGCACAGCACAGCACCACACCAACACAGCCAAGACACGCACAGAGACACAAGGCAACCACTGACGAATCTCCGTTCTCGTTCCTTCAGTACCGCCGAGTGGATGCACCCAAGGTGCTGCTACGTTCCCCAGCGCTGAAGGTGATAAAAGCGATGGGCTCTAATGCGGAAGTCACCCATACCTCAAACGAAAACAGGAAAAATACCACCGATCCCACTGGGCCTAAAAGGGCTACTGCGAACCCGCAAAAAATCAGAAAGGGTTACTGTGAACCCGCAAGAAAACAGGCAAAATACCTACCAGCTGGTCTGCTCAACGGGCTTCTGCGATCCCGCCAAAAAAATAAAAATACGGCTTACTGGCCAAAACCCCACCACAAGTCTTGTAATATCCATATCAGAAGGCTACCTAGAAAACGGAAGCTTAAAAAAACAAGGCCTAAAAAGTCCAGTCTGGCAATCTAAGCCAAACCCCTTATGAGACTATCCGAGCCAAGATGAACCCCTCCGGAGACTTCATCTTTTTCGCAAATCGCAAGAACACCGCCGATACCAGTCGGCAAGGGTAGTCTCTCATCAGCAACTCACGTCTAACCACCATGAAAGCAAGCAACCTCCCGAATCTATCTGAACATAACGTGTGGATTCTGTGGAGAGTCCCGATCAAAGCCCCCATCTTAGCTTGTTTGCTAGAATACGAGGCAAAGTCTTGAAAAGATCCAAAGGAAAGCAAGCCATCCTTCCAAATCCTTTCCGGATTCTTCATAATGGCCATAGTCCTGATGGACAGCCCTGCCCGTTGAATACGGACCCCGGCAAACGTCCAATCGAATCGAGAGTCATCCGTTCGCAGTAGTCGGAGATTCTCCCCATAACAGGATGCAAAACGGTGCAAAATGCTTTGGGCTTTAGCCAACCCCTCAAATCCAATCACGGCTATAAACACCGTGACGTCATCTACAATCCTAAAGCCAAAAACGAGGTGTTTGTCCGTACCCAAGCTAGTGAGAAACTGGAATTCTGCATATGCGCAGAGAATACATGCTAAAGCGCAGCTGGACGACTTACCCATAGGCACGCTAATCCGCTGTTTCAACAGAGCAGTACCAGACCAAATGTAAGTGAAATCCAAATCCAGACCTACCATATTACAGATGTCCGGAAAACGCACCAGAACACATTCATCCTTCGTGCGGCCAAAGGATAAGTGCGCACCCTTCCCCCTCTTTTAACATTCACTCCTACGTAGCCCCGTCCAGAGTAATGCCCCAGCAGCCATTCTACGACGGCTATGATATCGCGGTGTGGCAAGGTGACAAACATATCCTTTATATCAAAGGAAGCTGTCACCAGATCATCTACCAATCCCAGGGCCGCAAGTTTCTGATCCATACGTGCCAAACCTTGATTCAGACCAGTGATGGATTTGAGATTGAAATTAGACAGAACCGGGAACCCGGACAAAAGACAGTTCAGGGCTCTAGCCACCCGGAAACAGGCCAATCGAGAAGGTTCTTCGAAAGTCGGGGAAATGGGTCTCCATCTGGATAGGTCCTTGTGTTTAGGCAGCACATAAGCATGTCCAAAACTTCCAGCCGCATCCCATTTTCCCAACCGATCCAGTTTCAAGCTTCGAAAAAGCGTCCGCATAGAGTCCAGAACCACATCCTCCGGACAATCAGAGGCACAAAAAGATTGATTCCAGTCAAAGGTTAGTTGCACATAGTGCAGATACAACACCGGGCAAATAACTGAAGTGTTCGTACAATTCCTGTCAATGGGCACACATACGTACTGACGCAACTTCACAAACCAAGGCCGTAAAAATGGATGCTGGAAAGGCACACCAAAAGATCGACGTCTCCAGCAAGCACGGACATCCCCAAAACTCACCAGAAAACCCGAACACACATACATAGCGGCTGCCATTAACTGTTGTGTAAGCATCGGAAGACCATCCTGCAGATTAGTCAAAGGAATATTCCTGGAATTCCGGAGAATATCCGGGATTTCAGGAATGTCCTCAATCCTAGTCATGATATGAAACCCATTCCTTCGCCATCGACAGTCTTCATCAACACATCTGCATATAACATCAGTCAATTCTAAGCGTGCCATCCGCCTATGAGAGAGAATCAGATCTGCCACAGATTTGTTCCTCCTCCACACCACTCTCACTCTCCTCCCCAGGTATTCTCTGATCGCACGGGGGAAAGAAGAAGCTTGGATGATGCGTAGCACGAGGCTGTGGATCCGTGCCGTACATAACTGATGGTCGAACTGAACTTTCACTAGCAGACGACGCCGAATATCAATACCGATTCGTCTTTTGATCTCTCGTGCCAGAATAAACTTCAAAGAAGTTCTAGTCTGTTTCCCAGAGAAACTTCTAGCCGCTCGAAAAAGCTTCATAAGCCCATCTGTGGAACGTCTCCATAGAAAACGTCTGCGCCAGGGTTGCGCTAGAAGCAGCCTCAACTCTCCTTTGTGTACTGCTCTACCCCCTGGGGTCAGCACTATGGGACCAATCATAAAGGATCCCCCCGATTGAAACAACCCTCTCATATCTTTCAAACAGGATACCTTGCCAGGGATCCTAACAGAGGTACAACCGAACAATCTTCGGACCAGCGACCAGCGATCCGACCACAGCGTTCCGGGCAAACTCTCCATTACGACATACTTCATTCCGGCAACATAAGCTGATCGAAGCAAACTAATTAGGCTATCAGTCCAAATACCTCCCTCGAATCTGAACTTAATAGGACACAGGTCATTATCCCAGGGTGGAGTCCTACCCCAACGTTTCGGCCTAGATGCCCGCTTCTGGAATTTTGCAAACTTTGCAGGGGTAAACGACCTGATTACAACTTTTTCCAATTGCCCGACAGCACACACACCGTTGGCCAAGGGAATCGCTACATATTTGTCAATCCCAAACTTACGTAACCATCTGTATAGTTTTTGGCAGACTCCAAGCCCTCCTGATAACGTAGTCCTAACATGCTCGCCCCACCTAATATAGATATTCCTGATAGTACTACCCACATACTGCAATCTACACCAAGGAGAAGCAAGCATGTAGACAGAAGGTCCGGAGTCCCAATTAACCCAATCAATCGATGCTATCATAGATTGGAATTTAGACAACCATTCGATCTCCCCTTGAACCACCAAACCCAGGAAACACAGCGTACAACACTTATCCAGTAATACTCGAAGACGATGATGAGAAGGAGGAGGAGCGGGCGTAAACACGAAACCTTCATAGGCGGCTTTGACACGTGCTGAGATAATACGATCAATCGTGGGTCCCTTAGTGCAGTAATGCACCCCTTCCTTCGTGCAAATCTTACGTAAAGCCTCAGGCTTCAGAGCGATCAGTTCCGCTCGTTGCTCCAAAACGTACTGCAATAGTCCCTCCGGTCCACTGCCAGCGGGGATCTTCGTCCTCTCTTCCCCCCGCTTGGAGCATTCTGCACGGAAAACGTCGCTTCCGTCCGCTTGGCCAAAGGCTGGTTGTCTCATACGTGCATCCTCCCGTATAGGGGTCTTACCCCTCCTCTTCCTCTCTTTTAATGCAGAGAGGCGCTGGATTTCATCCTCTATCTCATCGACGTCTTTGTCAGTATCATCATCCCATCTCATCTCCTTTCTCCTTGGAGTCGCAGGAACCGGGGTACGCTGCTGCTCCCGCCGAGCTTCCTCCCTGCATATGAGAAACTGGCTGCCGAATATCGCCATCAGTTCGGCCTTGGTAGCTTCCGCGTGTCGGACCGTCTCCGCCCGAACTTGATCCTGGAATCTCTTCCTCTCCTCCACCTCCTTGCGCATCGTCTCCTGATCCTTTCTTTCTTGCATCAACTGACGAATGAACTCCTTCTCTTCACCATCATCCGGATTCCTCCTAGGGGTCCAGGTTCTAGGCGTGAAAGGGGTCCTGCCCGTGTTAGATGCATTCGAAGCTTGCTGTGAGCGGTTATTCGAAGGGCATTCTCGAGAAAAATGCCCTTCCCCGCCACATGTAAAGCATCTCAAAGGGGCCGCCATTTGGAATACCGCAAGGGTGAGAACCCCAACCACAACCACCGCTGCCGTAANTCAAAGGGGCCGCCATTTGGAATACCGCAAGGGTGAGAACCCCAACCACAACCACCGCTGCCGTAAGACCAGGAGAGCTTTCTAAGTGTAACCCTTGCAGACCACTCCTAATCAGGGGAGAATCCGAATCCGAACTAATATCTATGTTCCAAAGAGAAAGATGCACCCTCATGTGTAGTAACCGTACGACGTTAATTATATCGCACCACTACCCGACATTCATGAGTCGCATCATCGTAATAGATCACCAGTCTGACCAGACTATCGTAGTCTCCAAAAACTAACGCGCATCGCAGCACAACTATCATTGCCAAAAAGTCGTCGACGCAGCCACCCACGAGTGTAGAACCGCACTCACAGTTGCCGCGCTAGTTAGGATATGAAACAGACTGCACGACAGACAGCCTATGCATTTGGATAGCATTCAGAAGATACACCCAATATATGTCAATGCTGATCACGCACGCAAAATAGAGCAAGAAACCAAACGCAAAGGCCACCCATCATACCATAACGAAAAGTGGAATTACAAAATGCTCAGAACTTAGAATAATCGAAAGATACGTTCACGAGCACCTTGCATAATCCTAAACCCTTCCACATCACATTGCGGCCATTCCCCGAATTACAAAAATGCTTAGAACTCAGAACCAGTCGTTCTCAAATACACACAAAGGCCAGGATGCGGCCACAGAGTAACACCCTATGAGAACCGATCCGAAACCTAAAACGAAAGATGACAGGTACGTTCACGAGCACCTTGCATAATCCCAAACCCTTCCACATCACCGTGCGGCCATTCCCCGACCGGTTTCGACTACCCCGCGAGTAGTCTCTTCAGGAGGATTACTGAATATCAATCATCTGCAATCCGCTCAGAGTAAGAGGCCAACCTATGTGCCTTGCCTCTCCTTACATACTAACCGACATCCAGATTCCACCACCACTTCCCTTCTACCTGCGAGTAGCATCCACGAAGATTCCCTACCTCTTCTACCGACATCCAGATTCCACCACCACTTCCCTTCTACCTGCGAGTAGCATCCACGAAGATTCCCTACCTCTTCTATCAAACAGACATAAGAAACTCCCATGTTCATAGGCGACTTCATCGGACACGTACGAATGCAACCTAACCGTAAAGCAATCCGGTGAAAGTACTCGGAAAGTTCCATCGGGAGGGCGCAAGAAACAATCATGCACATGGATCGGATCCTCGAACAGGTAAACAAGGTAGATCCCAGTCGTAAGCCAATCACGTGAAAACACTCCGAAAGTTCGAAGAAGAGGGTGAAAGGATCGTGCGTGCACTTGGATCGATCCGCCGGAAAAATAAGCATGCTAGTTTCTCATACGTAGGACCTGCAAAAGGCACAGCACAACACCACACCAACACAGCCAAGACACGCACAGAGACACAAGGCAACCACTGACAAATCTCCGTTCTCGTTCCTTCAGTACCGCCGAGTGGATGCACCCAAGGTGCTGCTACGTTCCCCAGTGTTGAAGGTAATAAAAGCGATGGCGCGCGCTCCTGTCAGCAACCATTAAGTCGATACCCAGACACATGCATACTGCTCGGAGATTCACCCGCAGTCGCAAAGTCTGCATCACCGCAGAGCAAATGGCGACGGCAAAAGCTACTCCGGTGTGGAACATAAGAGGAGATCGCCACAGAGTTCATGAATAATATAGGATACCTGCCGCCTGCTACCTCGTAGAACCTCTTCAAACCGTCGCGCTCTTTTGATGCCACTTCGAAGATACCTACAGACGGCGGGAAAGGTACTGTTGAAGCCAGAGTCCCAAAGTTCATGTCAGTGGTGCACCCTGCCGGGGAGAAGGCCTGCAAATAGGCGCTAATGCGGAAGTCACCCATACCTCAAACGAAAACAGGCAAAATACCACCGATCCCACTGGGCCTAAAAGGGCTACTGCGAACCCGCAAGAAAACAGGCAAAATACCTACCAGCTGGTCTGCTCAACGGGCTACTGCGATCCCGCCAAAAAAATAAAAATACGGCTTACTGGCCAAAACCCCACCACAAGTCTTGTAATATCCATATCAGAAGGCTACGTAGAAAACGGAAGCTTGAAAAAACAAGGCCTAAAAAGGCCAGTCTGGCAATCTCAGCCAAACCCCTTGTTGCCAATGTTGGTGCATTTTTTTTTTATTTTTTATTTTTAAGGGCCCAGTGCCCAAGGCTGATATTTCCAATATGAAGATTGAGGCCGGGTCCTCACAGTCTACCCGGAAGTCACCAAACTGATCATGCTGAGAACAGGTTACATATTAGCCAAAAAGTCCTGCACTATTGATCTGGTAACCCCTGACCATCAGGAGGGACAGAACAGTGAGCTAGTTTAGAGCCTCTTCACCCTTGCTGGGCGGCAAAAAAAACTTGACTGCCAAGCACTAAACCAGTTAACTATCTAAAGCATATCTCTAATACCGCCTTTCCTAACAACTCAAGAGATGTCTATCCAAACCAAGCAGCAGGCACAAGGCAATTACTTGGGGGAGGGAAGAAATCAGGAAATTCAGAGAGGGGCCTGAGAGGGATAGAGGGGTCCACAGTAACCCAGTCATTAAAGATCAGCGGGTAATTCCTTTTAATTGGTTCCTGAGCATTTGTGTGTCCACCTTCCCAACTTACTTTCCCCAGCCTCCCTCCCTGGTCACTTCCCAGCCAACTTCTGTTAAATTGGTTAATATTTGTTGCCAAGTCTCATTATGTCTTGATAAGAACTGGATCTTTTCTTTAACATGTTCCCATTTAATAGTCAATTCAGTTTGAATCTGCTGTTTGATGGTTTCAGTAAATTCTGGCCCATCCAATCGCGCACCTTCCATTTCAAAGGTACACCTTCTTATCCAAATCGCCCATATGATCGCCCTCCTACTTATTAAGAAAAAATTGAATGCGAAGTCATCCACTTGGTCCAGATGCCATGATTCCAATAGGAGGGCTTTCTACTCCCAAGACCAAGGGTAAGAGGTGTTCATTTGGTTCCAGATCCTATCCCACCATCTTCACAGCCAGATTGAGCCCGGGCATTGGAGGAAGACATGTTCTATAGTTTCAGGGATGAGCTTGGATGGAAAGGCTGATTTACATAACTTACACCATGGGAAGGCAATGCCTTTCTGTTCAAGGGAAGACCTATTAATAATCCAATCATTCGTGGGAAGACATCTATGAACGATTTGCCACTGTAGAGAAGCAATTTTGGCAGGTCTAGTTTTAGAAGCATGGAACCACTCAATCCTTCGAAGCTCATCCTTACTAACATTGAGAGTCTTATGCCATCTTTCTTCAATGCGATCCTTTAAATTGAACCTGGGACGAAGCATCCTATCGGATGCCTTGACTGTAAGGGTGTGTAATTTTTGGCCATCGTACTTAAAAATGGCAAAAGCATGAAAGCTCCCTTGCTAATACATCCTTCCAACCCTCCCAGTCATTAATCTTCTGCACTAGACCAGTCAAGTTGGCCAGCCTGCTCTGGCTCATAACTTATAGAGCAGTCCCAGTGAACCATTGACTAGCTCAAAGACGAAGCAAGGAAGACACATCAGAACAGGAATTACGGTGTGAAGTCTACAACTCCCAAGCTATAGAAACACTCAATCATTGTTTCCTGGAATGCGAGAAAGCCCCAATCCTATGGAATGAAGTAGAACAAACTTGGAGCAAACTCTCTGGTAAAGAGTACAAATTAGCCCTGGCACCCTCTTCCTAGCAACTCTTCAAGGGTTTCGACGACTTCTTCTCTCTAATCAGAAAAGCAACTCTTCGGGCGATTTGGAGATGAAGATGCGTCCTAAGTTCTCCTAACCTTTGAAGACCTTCCTACTATCCCAGAAAATCCCCACACCCTCATTGAAAAGTTAATTGAGACGAAAATCCATGCCCACTGGGAAAAACCCTGAGCCAAATCCAAAACACCCCAGATAAAAAAACTCAGATTATTAAAAATATTAAAGCATCAAAACTTGGAGGAGGAAAACTAGGCTCGATAACGGAAAATAGATTAACCTTGAACGACTGGTTTACCCCGAACCAACACAACAACCAGGAGCCAGAGAATCCCTTACAATGACCCCGAAACCAAACTGAAGACCATTATAATAATAGACTAGTAGACAGTTTAGACATAAACATCTAACTAGTCGTTGGAGCAACAACCAATAACTAAATTTGGAGCGAGCAAACTGACCCTATGTAAAACAGTGACCACTAACAATTACCAGCAGATGTATCACTCCCAGTTTCAAACGCTGAACCCTGACGCACCTAACGCCTCAACTCCCCTTCCCACCTCCTTCCCACCGTCGCCCCAAGCCTTTTTTTTTTTTTTTTTTTTTTTTTTGAGAATAGCCATTGCAATATCCCTCTATCCTGGCGGTGGTAAGAGAACCGTCAGAATTGAGGGCTCAAACCACCGGATAACAAGAAACAGAGCAGGAACATTCCAGGGTTTAGTCGGTCAACACTCTCAAGAACCTTCAACTTTCAGATAATAGCACATTTAAGGACTTGGGTTATTTATGGCATCCTTCGGTCCTTCCCACCACAAGGGAGAGGAGTGCAGGTGAGATTCCTATGTGAAGTTTTGGATTGCCTGGTGAAATAGGAGCCGGCCCGACGGACTTAAGTCTCTTACCAAGCGTGCAGATATCCAGGTGCACAAGCAGAATTGGTTTACAGGATCAGAACAAAAGACCCAAGCAACTGAGGTCTGTAGGCATAGAAAATCTAACGGCCTAGAAGCTGAGAGAGACAGATCCTCTGAGGTCCAGGGAGGCAAGTGGAAAGATTAGAGAGTGAGGTTAAAAGCAGAACCTCAGTTGAATAGGATAACTTAGGCAGGGGTGAAGGGTGGTACATCCTTCCTTCGGGAAGTAATCGATGTTGTCCTTCGGACCTCCACACCATAAGGGGGAGGAGCGTGAATAGGTAATCTTTGTGATCCCTTCAGACTTACCGGTGGAATAGGAACCGGACTGATGCTCCCCAGAATGGAAAAGGAGTAGGAAAGGTTCAAAAAAA